GAAGTTTGGAGAAGAAGAGAATTTCGGGGAACAAGGAGACTTTGGGGACGAGGAGTTTGGGGAAGATGAGCAAGATTATTAGTGTTCTAAAGTTTCTACAAATTATAAAACATTTTATGTTTGCTTTTCTTTGGATTGATTTGGATTATGTGTTTTCTATCTTTTCTTTTGGATTAGGTTGAATTATGCTATTTTATTCTTAAGTCAGTGTTTATGTTTTGAAAATGTGATGTGTTTTTGTCTTACTTGTTCATACATGTGAAGTATGTAGGCTATTAGCCGTATTTGCGCCTCATATCTATAAAGCCCGCACCAAGGCGTGCCTAGGCTCAAGGCGACATCTAAGGACTTTGGCGCCTTGGTGGGCCTTTTAAAACCAAGTCAGAGGTTAGTAGCATCTCCACTTGCTTCTTTTATGTTCCATCCGTGTGTGTTGCATGTGTAATAGGGTTAGCATTTGTATCTCACAGAGGTTTATCTTAATCTTTGGCTCTTTTAGATTGCGATGAATGTGTACACTGAGGTACTGACCTGGATTCTATGCTCGCACAAGGAAAACTTTGCTCTGATAAATAGAAAAGATGACAATTCAGCCGTTATAATTGGGAACCCACGTTCTGCTGATTTTGAGGTACATCTTTTGGGTGTTTTTTCATATGCTCATTGGCCATCTTCTGTGCATCTTGGTTGTTGCTTGCCATTGCTTGAAGGTTTTTTCGTTTATAGGTAGTCAGAACGAGTTTCATGCCTGGAATATTGAAGACAGTTGGTTCTAACAAAGACCACCCTAAACCTATCAAGGTAAGCGATTTGATTACCTTCCTTTCTCAAATAACCGTAGCTTAGATTTGAGATCTCTTGATCAATTTTGTTTTCAAGATTTACGAAATAGGTGATGTGACCTTGTTGGATGAGACGAAAGACGTCGGTGCATCCAATCGCCGCCATCTTGCTGCACTACACTGTGGTGCTAGTTCGGGATTTGAGGTTTGATATCCTTTCCCAACTAATGTTCTTGTCCATGGATGATTCTTAAATCTAATCTTGAGAAACTTCTCTGTATAATTCAGCTTATACATGGCCTCGTCGATAGAATCATGGAAGTAATGGCCATCCCATTTGTGCCAGCTGGTGACAATACCGGATACTATATAAAC